TTCCACACCACTTAACTTTCCATTAGTACCCTTGAATACAACACTCAGAACAGCTAGTTTCTCTAGCAATGAGCTTTTATGATTTACCCTCCATATGGAGGGTGTCACTGAAGCCAGTCAAGTCAGCAATCTTCCCTATGAGTGTCTGGGCCATAAAATAAGATTTCTGTATGAAAAAGCACTTTGTTACTGACGTTATGCAATTCTAATTCTAATCTAATTTTCTGAGAAACGGAATAAAGGATTTTTCACTAGCTGTAAGCCATGTTCATCAAAATTAACCCAAATAATGCTTGAAACATATCACTGTGTGTAATGAACCTATATACACTTTTTGAATTAAATTACTGAATTATCTTCGATGATATTTATCACAAGCTGAAAATAAAATAACCCTATGGTCGCCACAAAGTGTGTTTCACATAAAACCTAAAGCACATAAGCCTTTCCTGCAGGAGCCACTGCACTGGTAAAGATGTGTCAGAGCTGTAAAGTTAATGCATCACTAATTACATCTGCAGTAGTGTAATCTCACTGTAACAGCAGATATGAAACAAATTTTGTCAGTTAAAACGTAACCAATATGTAAAAATAAATTAATAAGAATACACAAGAATTGTCTTTTAGAAATGTAATATTTAGTGAACTGTAAATTATAAATAATTTTTCATTATTTAGGCTTCCAAGCAGATAGCGATACACCACTTTGGATGTGATCATTTTAGTTTAGATAAAGTCAGACATGCTTGAACCAACAGCTCTCTGTCCTCCCCATGTAGATTATCTTTATTTTAAAGCTTTTAACACAATTCTGCTATAGTGCTGTATCTGACTGCAGAGAGGCTTCTGTAAGTAAAAAATCAGGCTTTAATGCTTGATTATGTTGTATCACCTGTGCAGGAAATTCGGTGATGGTGGAGAACACAGGGCACAGAGGAGCTTTGAGAATGGACAAGGTGGTGGACAGCAGGAAGACCAAAGTGCTAGTGGAGTTTGAGTCCTCTTCTGTAACTGTTTCACTGAACTGTTGCTCGCTGCTACTCGCAGAAATGACCAATTCTGCTGTGGTTTCTTCTGAAAGGTGAGAAACATCAGCATTTTCTGATTTAGCATCAGCACCAAATCTCTCTTCAGGCGATGACACTTTGAAGCTCTCCTGTTTGCCCTCCTTTGCATGCGGGTCACCAGTTTCTGAATTCTCATCTGTTCCATCTGCCTCTGTTTTTGCAGCATTTCCATGAAGCCCATCAGTTCGAAGTCCCACTGTGGCTGCAGCTGTCTCCCTGTCTTCTCCCCCACAGCCTTCAGAGAATAGCTCAGCCACCCCTAACATCTCCTCCAGCTCCTTCATGCTCACTTGCCTCTCTGCCTCCTGTGTCTCTTTGATTACCCCCACACTGAAGCCATCCTTCCCCTCTGGAGGAGCGCAGCACGCTGCAGACCATAGCAGCTTGGTTTGACACTCCTCGTCTCCATCCTCAGCTGCCCCGAGTCGTCCTGCTCCTGTCAGGATGTAGACACCCCCTCCTAAAGCGGCGCACTTGGGCATGATGTTGGACTGGATCATTGCTGCCACCGTCGAGTCCCACTGTTGAAGAGGGGAGTCTGTGGGCGAGGCGACATCAGATATATCCCCTGCTCCTCCTCTAAGAAGAGCTGGAACTGCAACTTTGACACTGTCTCCTACCTCTGTCTGGCAGGAAAATAGGAAATATATTGTTAATTGGAAACAAAGCACACACCTTTCACTTTTATTACTACTTTTACAGTAATCAAACTTTTTTTGATTGTAAAAGCTCCAAAGTTAAATGTTTTGTACATTTTTGCTGTATTTTTCCACCATTATGTACTCTTAGTATTTAATACTTCTGTTAATATTTAACTTTTCATGCATGTAAAAGGTCTGGAAGGTCAGGTTTTTTCCTCTACACCCTTTTTCATCTTTTTATGAAATATTTCCATAATGCATTCCTAAAAGCTTAGTCATACATCTTACCCAAAAGATCACCAGGAATTAACAGCAATATACATTATTAAAAGTTTCTCTTTTTGTAGATAAACATCCTGGTAATAAGTAACCGGATAAATTAGAAGGCCCATGAAGTTCTTTAAAACTGATACAAGCCACTTTATAAAATATTAACAATAATAAACTATAGATTTCTGGCTCTTTTCACGTTTGTTTGACTGCAGTGTTAATAAACAAATCAAAATGATAATTTATTTGAATGGTGGAAATAATATGCAGGTTCTAGACTAAAGTATAAACACAAAAGTTAAGATTTTTGGATTATAAATGTGGCTTAAATATTACAAAGTGTGTATCCTGTAGAAGAAAATGGCTCCTTTTAACATGTGGGTTTTAGATCGATCATCATTGCTTGCAGATAGTACAAAAACCTTCTGCTGAACTCCTAAAAGGAACTAGAAGTTAGTAACAATAGACCTGGGCTTTAACTAGGTCATTCTGATGCATAAATATGTTTTGATCTAGATCAAAAAGTCTTCAACCCCAGTCCTTGAGAGCTACTTTCCTGCAACTTTTGTTCCAACACACCTGAACCACCTAAATGACTCATTACCAGGCTTTTGCAGAACTTCATGACGTGCTGATAAGGTTACTCAGCCATTTGATTCAGGTGGGTTGGTTCCACGTGTATCTTATCTTTTGCAGCATCTAACAGGTTATTTGACAGCTTCCCTGTCCCTGCTAAAGGAAAACATCCCCTCAGCATGATGCAGCCGGCATCAAGTATCACTGTGGGGATGGTGTGTTTGGGGTGTTAGTTATCCACCACACATTCTGTTTTGCATGCAGGCCAGTTTTGGCCTCATCTGACCAGAGTCTCTTCTTCCAAAGGATTGCTGCATCTCCCACATGGCTGCAAACAGGACTTCTTATGGTTTTCCTTCACTTTTTCTCTTGTCACTCTTTTGTAAAAGCTAGAGCACAACGTACAGACAACTGGTTACCTTAGCTGAGTTGCGGATCACTGCAGCTCCTCCAGAGTTACTATCGGTGTCTTGGCTGCTTCACTGTTAAATGCTCTCCTTGCTTGGACAGCCATGTCTTAGTAGGTTTGCAGTTGCGCCACGCTCTTTCCATTTTCAGATGATAGATTGAATCTTTGTGACATCTTGGGATATTATTTTATAACCTACATCTGCTTTAAACCTCTCATAAACTGTATCTCTGATCTGTCTGCTGTTATCCTTGGTCTTCATAATGCTGAGGCCTTCAAAGAACAGCTGGATTAATACTAACTAGGTGAGTTGGAGGGCAGTTGGTTGCCCTGTATTTAATTTAGGGGCATCAGCGTTAAGAGGGCTGAATATATGTCTGTGTCAAACCTTTCCGATTTTTATTTGTAAAAAGTTTAGTAAATAAAAAAAATAAATTTGTAAATTTCCTTCTAATTGAATTAAGCACCACTTTGTCTTGGTCTACCACATAAAATGTCAATTAAACACATTGCAGTTTGTGGTTGTAATGTGACAAAATGTAAGACATTCAAGGGTGTGAATAGCTTTGCAAGGCACCATAGGTCAGAGTTAAGTCAGACTAAAATGTTTATCAGACTATCATCAGGTACTCGACCAAAAACCTGCAGAAAGCATGGAGAAAAGAGCACCCACCAGGATGATAACTTGTAGTGCCTAGAGGCTATATATGGAGATGTGGGGGGGGGCTTTAGTATAACACTATTATCATTTTAAATGTTGTGTTATTAAAACTAGACAATGTAACATGAGTTAGCACTACTTACAACAGTCTCTCCCCTCTGCTCCTTCTCCTTCCCTGTCCATCCATGGCTGAGATGGAAGGCAGAGCAGACAGCGGTGTCACAGGTCAGCCTGGACAGAGTGGCGAGCGCCTGTCCCCCAGGCAGTCTGTGGCAGTGACGGTGCAGCGGCAGCTCAGCTGAGGCTCCCCGAGGAGGCGTCTGTCTGTAGAAGCAGTCGTCGCAGAGGGTGAAGCCTGGCTCAGAGTAATGCTCAGCTGGAAGAGACAGGCCCAGGCCCAGCAGCGCCAGCAGCCAGACAGCAGCAGCAGCAGCTGCATTGAAAGCAGCAGGACTCAGCATGTTGGTGAGCTTAGCTAATCTTCCCTCTCTCACACAGTGAGAAGGGAGAGGCTTATAAATTATCCAGTGGTTTCTGTGTATAGATGGAGAAGATAAATAATGGCTGCTGATGGGCTTGTTGTTTTCCCTCTCACTGACTCCTCGTGTCGTCCTCCGGTTTATCTGCAAACATGCCTGCCTTCTTCTACTGCCAGCTGTACTCAGAGAGGGTGAATCGGTGTTTGCAAGAATGATCTTGCTTACTCCTTCCTTTCCCTTTCTCCTGACTGCCTCGCCCCCCTCGGTCAGTTCCACCCTCTGATTCTCCCTCTGGCTGTTTGTGCACCTCACCCCTCCCTCTGGAGCTACACCTTTACCTCCCATTGCTGTTATGCACACAGTCTGGGTCCACACCTATTAATTACCTGTAAGTCTGCATTCCCAAAAATCAGTTTGTTCAAAACACTCGACAAGCAAACTCTTTTAAACCCATTATTCTTGGTAGTGCACAGTCCTGAGTCCTTACTTAGTAAAAAGACAGTTTCTCTGAACGGCTTCCAAATCACTAAAAACAGCAGATGAGCTCTAAAATGAGTCTCTTCATGAAATCCTCATTAAACCGTAATCCTGACTACATGTTCACTTTGAACTCACACACCCACTTTCATGGTCTGCAGATTAAAGCTGACTTTCCCTAATATCAGTAACATGCCTGCAGAGACATGATGCTGGCATGGATGGATTCTTACAAAATCATTATGCAGCAAAGGCGAAGTAAGCACATATTCTGCACAGAGCATGTGTATGAGTGAAGGGAAACATCCCACACACTTTTAAGATATTTTTTTGGCACTAGTGGCCTTTATTTATTTTTTTGACAGTAGGCAGACAGGAAAGAGTACCGGGTAGAGAGAGGAGGAGACATTCGGCAAATATCGGCGGGTCCGGGACTCGAACCCAGGACGGCCGCTTCGAGGACTTTAGCCTCTGTATATGGTCGCGTGCTTAACCCCTACACCATCAGCCCATCCCACACACTTTTGACACCGAGAAGAGGTGGAGTTCAGCAAGAATGCCTTCACATTGCTCAAGAGTTATGGGTAAAATGAGCCAAAAGCACCCATGAGGTTCTACAAAGAGTGTTGTCAGCGTTCCTCGGCACAGAGGTCAAGCAAGCAATAGAGATCCCTTGCAAAATGGACTCAGGTGATGATACTTTGCAGAACTACACATTTACAGGCTAACTCTGAAGAAAGCAAACCTGGAATGAACATTTCTGGGAGTGATACTCAGGGTGGGGCATTAAGCCATCAACTAAGACATGTATAACCCTTTAGGACCTTGATAGGAATCAAAAATGGTGCAATGGGAAAAGATGTTTCTCTAAGATTGCTTCTGTGTGTTTAATATAGCAACGCTGAGAATATTTCAGTTAAAAAAGTAAGTCTAGTGAAAACGAAAAGAATTTGATATACAGCTTTACAGGTGAAAAATGCATATGTGTATTTGAAAAAGTAATTTTTACAATCTGAAAGACATCAGCTCATATATCTAGTCCACATTAACTGTAACAAGTACACATTAATAACTCTAAGGTTACAAAGAATGAGATGGAAAGCAAAAACAGATCCCTAAGAAATATATATATATATATATATATATATATATATATATATATATATACTGATAAAATAAGAGATGGAAACAGCAGCAGAAATGATCCAATTGACCAAAAGCGTATCGATGCACCAGTCAAGCGGTCAGAGATTTAAATAATAGTTTTCCGTGGAAGGCTTGGTCTCATGACCAGCAAGTCAAATATCACAGGAAACCTATTAATGATAATACTTTCCTTACATGGAGCAGAGAGATGTCATTATCATTCAGCTTGTTTGTTGGAAATGTAAATAAATTTCTGGAATGGTGGCAGCTAGCAGCTAGTCAGATGTATGCTGCTCGTTTTAGCTAGCTATAACAGGTAAGCTTAAACTGGACATGTTCATATGAGTGGGACAGAACGCAGTTAGTAGCTATTAACAGACTACAAGTTCACAACAGACCATGTTTGTGCTGTTTCGTTCAGCCAAACATCTGTGTTTCTATGTGGAGCAAAGCTGGTTGAGCCAATCAGCTGTATCAATCACCAGATCCATTTTCTGTCAGTCTGCTGTGGGAGAAACTTTTGGATTTTGCATCAGACTGTCACTTGTGCAGCATCATCAGGAATGGTCTGCTTCTGTGCTTTCCAGGTCTAAAAATCAGCCATCTAAAAGATTGATATGACTACAAGACTCAAACTCAGACATTGTCAAAAAAAAAGACGTCAACCAACATGACAAGACTCTCCTGTGAAATTGTGGACCGCTTATATCCACCAACACAAGGTTCTATCCCCACTGATACAAGCCTTTTCTGTAAGACCTATTTAAATCAACTAAAACATACGGTGTGTGTCTGGCTAGCTGTTAGCTTCCACCCCAGATTTATTTACAATTTCAACAACCTCATGACAGTACAACATCTTTCTACTACATGAAAGGGAACTACTACCTATAATGACTTCACAAAACTGCATTTTAAATAAAATCAAAACTAGCCCTTCAATGCTATGCATGTTTTTGGCTACACCATGTGAGAACAGCACAATAGCTTTCCAGTTAATCATATATTGGAGATGCATATGGAGGAACCTGTCGCTGCCAGGAAAAACAGATCCCGTATCATCCAGAGCATTGATGAGTGAGTGACAATCTACACAATCACACTACTAATATACTGCATGTAACACTGATAAAATACTGTGATACATATATGGCATTAACTGTAATGTAGTGTTGGACTGTGGCTTGTTATAATTAAACACCTTCTTAAATGACTTGAATCAGTTTTGGGGGCAAAGAAAATCCTGATCAGGACACCCCTAATAAAAATAAAATAAGAGGGTTCTGGACATACGCTCTGGTGCATAACATGAGGATAAATCTAGCATTTAAAACAACATTCTCTATCAAAGAGCCCGCAACACATTTTTACTTTTATGGTCGATGTTCGTCGCATTCAGTTGTAGAGAAAAATGAAAAAGAGATTTTACATAGATAAACAAATTGTAATCAGCAGGTTAGATGAAAAAAATAAATAAATATATTACAGAAATCAGTTCTGGCCAGGAAATGCATGATCGGTGCCCCTATACAACTAGGACTGAAATTAAGAAACTAGTGCTGTTTCAGTTTTATTACTTGCAGACTGCAATTGACCCTAGAACCACCAGGGGGAGCTTGGCTTCCAAGACAAAAACATTCAAGAACAGATTCAGGCCCCTCTTCATCCTCCTGCCTTTAAATACATCCCAACTCCCAGTCGCTCTCACTCATTGGGGATGTCAATGACGAGCTCGGCCTCGTCTCCCTCCCCTCTGTCCTCGTCTCCCCTGTCGCTTTCCCCGTCGCTCTCACCTTCCTCGTCAGCCGCATCTCCGCTGAGCATTTGTTTGGGAACCCAGCTGAAAGGGCCGCTGGCTGCCTGAGCAGCGCCGGAGGCTGACGTGTAGTTAGCCGCCATCGGAGCAACAACCTGAGGAGGAGGAGGGTAAAAACGATCTTTAAAAAGTGACACAAAGAGGGGCAAAAACATCTTAAATAAAAGATGAGTGGTAATGGATGACTACATCACAGATATGTAAATAAAATCAAGACAAAACATGTATTTGAATTTAGAGAGTTGTCCCATGAAAAGACACTATTAGAAAATGTGAAAATCTGCATTAAACCAATACCTGGCAAGAAGTAAACATCTGTTTAATGATCACTGCTCTCTCTAAACATCCCCTTCCCCCTCCTCCTCTCACCTTCCCTGTGGCCTCTCTCTTGTTTTTTGGCGTCTTTGTTTTTCTCTCTTTCTTCATTCGCTCGGCTGGCGGCGCCAAATACTCTGGTGGGAAGGGCATCTGCCCAACACACATGCACACCCGATTTTTCCAAATGGCCACATGCACACGTTCATAGGCGTTTACGACACACACATACACAGACGCAACACAAAACAACAAACACAGGAGAATGAACGGTACAAAGACGGTGAAGGCATTTTAAAAAGAAAATAATAATACATGCGTGAATAAAAGGATACATAAAGAATGCTCAATGAAAACAGGGATTATGTTTGCAGATGAGAATATGACAATGGCTGCAGTTTTACTGAACTAAGAGGAGGAGACGGAGAACTCACAGTGTTGAGGTACGATCCGGCACTGGACGACTGAAGGGGGTTAACTCCGGGACGAGACAGTAGAGAGAGATGAGGTGATGATGAGGAGGAGGAAAGGCATGCTCCAGGGCTGCTTTTTCTCCTGAAAAGTAGGAATTTACAGAAGCTGTCAAACTGATAAATGTAAGCTTCCATAATTATGGAGCTGGACTCCCAGGAGTTCATGAAACTGCAGTTATAATGCTCAGTTGTTTGGTCTAAATGAATCTGTTTGTAGTCAAAACTAAAAAGTCTGGACGGTTAAATTGTTTATCCTTATAGTATAGACAGATTCGGTATTAAGTCACTGTATTCGGCCAATTATGGCATTTCATTATCTTAGAAAAACCCTTGATGTCAGCAAAACCAGAGTCTCTAACTGGTTTCGGCATCAACATATTAGTGCGGAGGAATAAAACAATTACAATATTTTATCAAGGAACAGAAAATGACAATAATAATGATAAAGGTCCAATAAGAAACTTCAATAAGACAGAAAAAACAGCCGGCCTATCAAGCATCACATGGAGTCAACATCATTTACGCAATTTTACAAGATGCGGCATAAACTGCAACCATTATTTTAAGTTTGTACTGAAACATACTTGCACTCTTAAATAAAACTACAAAAGCGTTTTGTACGTCAATATATTGCTTCTTTAAAAAAAGTGACATTTTTTATGTGATCAATCGTAATTCCTGATGTTCCACAGTGGTTAAGGTAGCTGTGTGTTTAGTTTATCATCTCATTGGTAACTAATAATGTTTATTTTAATTTGTTCTGACAACTTGGATTGAAACAGATGTTGTGTTAGAAACCGGATTATTAATTTGAAACGCGATAATTATCAAAACTGTTCAAAACCAAAAAAATATTCCAGCTCTACAGATTTACTGCATACCAGTGGTTCTTAATCCCGATCCTTCATGTTTTAGATCCGTCTCTGCTCCAGCACACCTGAATTAATTGCTTTACCTCAGCAAACCAGGAAGTGCTGCAGAAGCGTGTTAATCACCCAGTCATTTAAGTCCAGTGTGTGGCAGTGAGGAAACACCTAAAACCTGCAGGACAGTGGATCCTGAGGACCAAGACTGAGAACCACGGCTATACACAATACATTAACTACTTGTGATGATGGAGTTAGACATCTGTTTATATTTTACCCATATAGGCAGGCATTTAAGATGAAGCAAAGACTACCTACTTTTCCCCCATGAGTATTTGTAAATTTAATGGTAATTGTACAGCGTTTTTATCAGTATTATTTGTGCTATTTTATTACTTTATCCGTAATTTACTTTTGTTTGGACTCCTGGAACGCCTCAATTTCCCCTGAGCAATAAAGAAACAACTTATCTTATGTACTTCTTATTAGAGAATGTGCAATAAGATAAGAAACTCATTCCTTTCATATAAATAGGCACATGCATGTAATAAATTGCTTTTAGTTACTTTATAATTATTGAGCATCTGAAAGGTCCCCTCCTAAATGTTGTTTGATCTCCTGACTTCAGAAAGAACATTGCTTGTTGTCCAGTACAACAAATAATGCAACAATAAATTACTTACTTACTCAGATTTCTGGAAAGCTGTATTATCTTGAATAGAGACAGGTTTAAATCCAAAATTATAAACGCATAAGAACCTAGTTTTGAAAGGTGTTGAAAGGCTGTGAAAGCCTTTATTATTTCAGGTGAACTTTGACTTTCTCCAGATATCGTCGGACCATTTTCCAGTTGGCTTACTTCTTTGTTATGTCTCGTTCTCTTTCCCTCTCCCTCAGTC